AGATGAACATCGAGGGCACTAATGTTCACTCATACGGATAACGTTAGAGTTAGCCATATTAAGGGATTTGGTAAATGGGCCGAAGTTTGGGCGCATGGTGAATGGGAAGTGATTTTGCGGTCGAGGACGCGAGCAAATAAAACACTAGAAAAACTTACTCAAATATGCAACCAACAATTCACCAAAGCCCCCCCACCACTGGCGTGTATTTCGGGTTGCATCTCCACCACACATCGCGTAATGGAGATAATCGAGTTCTGCAACAACTAATACCATCCACGTTAACTTATCATAATAAACAAAATGTGTCCGACGAAACTCAGCCGGAACATCTGCGAACCGTTTTAATCAGAATTAGCGTCCATGTCGGCGTAAATTCCTCTCCACTCGTACATTTCGATCCCGTCCGTCTTAGCAGCCATAATAATAGTAATAACAATAACACTAGATGACGAAGAGTTGTTGAAAGTTTCCCGTTTAGTCAGCAGAAAAAGCCGAGCACTGCGATAAACAAGAATAAAGCGTAGTGCGACTCGAAAAATGATATTTTATGAAGCGCCGTAAATATCATTGATTCTAAGTCGAGTGGGGAATTTATGCGTTTTCTGGCGATGTTTATCAGTTTATCAGGCGACGTTTACCCGTGTCGTCGCGCTTTGAATAGCCAAGTCGTCTGAGGGCAAAAAAGGGAACGTACGAACGTACGCCAAGTGATCAACAAGCAGATGCGCCGCTAAAATTCCTCGTTAATTAACGCCCGAATCAAAGCTGATTAAATCAAAATTGGGAATTAATAATGTAAAGCTGGTGGAGGCAAGTCGTTACGTCGTGTAATTGGATTATTACACAGAAACTATTCCCGAGTTCGCGGTAATATGGGATTGAACATCTATTTTAATTGTGTGTTATTGTCATTTCGGAGCTGCGTGGTTATTGGAGCGCGAAGGAGATTATTTCAGGGCAGGCTGAAGTGCACAAGATTTTGGCAAATTTTCACTGTATCTAAGTTTCACAACATGATATTGTTTTGTTCGAAGCATAAATATTTCAAATTCTCTACTAAACTATTTGGTGTTACACTTACATTGGAGATAACTACAAGTAGAACTGAAATTTTCTAGAAATTTAGCATTGCCTTCATTTCTGCTGATAAATAAATTGTATAAATTGTATTGGGTGTTCATAAATGTTTGTCATCACACAAGTGTCAAAAACATTATGCCGATTTTAAAAAATTATTGCAAAATTTAGAAATCACATAAATGTATTACTGGTTGCCTCAACAGGCGTTTAATTTTAAAATTATTTCGGAAACGACTTTTATTATAATAACTAGCTGACCCCATGAACTTCGTTTCACCTACAACCTAATTTTGAATCTGCAAAACCGAATGCTTTGAAATCTTGCAGATTTTTTAAACATCTGATAAGCATAATAAATTTTTATTCAAAATAATAGTTACTTGCTCCAAAAAATTGATGACGTCAGCCCAAAATTTTGCCAAATGAATCCTTTTTAAAATGCCCAAAATAGGATGAGACTATATTTGTGATTTATCATTCCATTCATATTTTTTAGTTTTGCTTATAGGGAAAAAAATTAATCACCGAGTCAATTTATTTTATTGATTGAATCAAGAATTGCAAAACTGAACTATATAATTTTTCCTTTTTTTCGTCGGTAACTTCTACCTTTGATAGGAGTCGTTTCTTTGATAAGCAATGTTAGTGTTTTGTAACATTGCGTTGGCACTATTGATAAAAAACCTATGCTGCGATGTATCGGTGAAGTTGGTGGGTCAAAGCTATATATTTTCGCGACATAATTAAATAAAATTTAAACATAATTAATATAATTCATAATGTTTAAATATGTTAACTATTAATATGTGATAATTAAACCGAAAACCATTTTCCTAAGAACACGAGATTAGCAAAAACAAATTAGTTTGTTTAAAAATTGTTAAATTAATCCCGAAAATGTACAATTTCTGAGCGAAAATATGAAGAATAATTTTTGCAATCTCATCGTGACGTACGATGACGTCACTGTCACGTGAGCTACCTGATAAAATGTAACATTTTTCGATCCTCTGTGTTTAGTTTTGATTTCGGCTTGGTGGCAGCAACATCAGAGCTCCGTTTTGGCTTAAAAGTAGGGCTCTTTTCACGAATTTCTAATTTATTATTAATAAATATTAGTGAAAATGTGTTGTATTAGTACTGTGAACACGAAAGAAGATGGATATTTTTCCGAAAAGGACCGAAAACAGGGTAAGTACGACTTCAGTTTTAATTTATCGGATTCCGTGATTCGTTCACTCGACAATGTTTAAATTTTGGGAAAATTTTCGAAACGATTGAAGTCGGTTGATCAAAGCTATACATTTGCACGATATAAATTAATAAATTTTAAACATAATTAATATCACTTATAATGTTTAAATATGATAAGCATAAATATTAGGGTGTTCCTTATTTTCCAAGTTTGGTTTTCTTTAATTCTCACCCCCTTAAAAGTTTACATCGATATAAGAAAAATATTTGTAAAATATTATACCCGTAAGTTTTCTCCTTCCAGTGCCGCCACCACGATAAATGTTTGATAAACAACACAAAGTAACTCTTTTTTCTGTGTCGTGAAATATTTTTATTTTGGGTCACTAAAATGATATTAATAGTAATTTTGACAATTTTAAAATAAAGCTTATGTGTTAAACATATTACTATTATTATTACCAAATCAATATCTACGCAAAAAATATTAAAAATTAAAATGCAATCAACAAGATTTATTTAAAGTAGTTTTTTTACAATTGGGATACATTCTGTGTTCCTGAACCGTTCTCAAGACATATTGTCTTTGATCTTTATTATTGGTCAACAAACCATGAAAATCTTGTGTCAATTTTACAGATCATTTTTCCCAAAAAATTATTGCTTCACGCACCGCTATATTTGCACTATCCCTTGTATTTAACTTAACTTCTCTCAAATTATAAAAAAAACTGATAACAATTGTTTATTCGTAGGAAGTTTTGAGCCAAGTATTTGAGTCTCTACTATTCCTACCAAATATACCTTGCCTAAGCCTCGGGATGCCATTAGATTTTTTTGTAATCGCTAACATGCGACACATAACACAAAAAGTACAATTATTTGACTTTTGTACTCAACACCTACTGCATATTATGCAGGTTTTAATTTTTGATAATTCAAGTTCATGGCGGCACGGGAAGGGATAAAGGGAGTGGGTCAAAATTTTTTATGTCTAGTGTCTATTTCAAATGTAAACTTTGTGGAGGGTGAGACCAACTTAATTCGAAAAAATACAATTTCACCTCTAAATAAGGAAGACCCTAATAAATATATATGATAATAATTAAACCGAAACTCGTTGTTCTAAAAGCCCGAAATTATTAAAAACAAATCAATTTGTTTAAACATTGTTAAATTATCCCCGAAAATTTGCATTTTCCCGGCCAAAATGTGAAAAATAAGTTTTGCAATCTCATCGTGACGTACGATGACGTCACTGTCACCTGAACTACCTGTCCAAAGGTCACGTTTCGCGGTCCTTTGTGTTCAGTATTAATTTGTTTGATGGCGGCAAGATCGTCGCGTCGTGTTGGCGTAAAAGTGGGGCGTTTTAGCGAATTTCTACTTTATTATTAATAAATAATTGCGGAAAATATGTTGTGTTAGTGCTGTGAACACGAACGAAAATGGATATTTTTCCGAAAAGAACCGAAAACAGGGTAAGTACGATTTCAGCTTTAATTTATTGTGTTCGGTGATTCATTTACTCGACAATGTTTAAATTGTGGGAAGATTTTCGAAACGATTGAAATTGGTTGATTAAAGTTATACATTTTCACGATATAAATAAATAAATTTTAAACATAATTAATATCATTTATAATGTTTAAATATGATGAGCATTAAACCGAAAATCGTTTTCCTACAAACCCGAAATTATTAAAAACAAATCAATTTGTCTAAACAATGTTAAATTATCCCCAAAAATGTGCATTTTCCCGGCCAAAATATGAAAAATAAATTTTGCAGTCTCATCGTGATGTACGATGACGTCAATGTCACGTGAGTTACCTGTATAAAGGTCACGTTTTACGGTCCTTTGTGTTCAGTATTAATTTCTGTTTGATGGCGGTAAGATCGTCGCGTCATTTTGGCGTAAAAGTGGAGCGTTTTAGCGAATTTCAAGTTTAATATTAATACATATTAAGGAAAAATTGTTGTGTTAGTGCTGTGAACACGAACGAAAATGGATATTTTTCCGAAACGGACCGAAAACAGGGTAAATGCGACTTAAGTTTTAATTTATCGGATTCCGTGATTCGTTTACTCGACAATGTTTACATTTTGGATCAATTTTCGAAACGATTGAAGTTGATGCGTCAAAGCTATACATTTTCGCTATATAATTAAATAAAATTTAAACATAATTAATATAATTCATGATGTTTAAATGTGATAACTATTAATATATGATAATTAAACCGAAAACCATTTCCCGAAGAACACGAGATTAGCAAAAACAAATTAGTTTGTGTAAACGTTGTTAAATAAACCCCGAAAATGTACAATTTCTGAGCTAAAATATGAAAAATAATTTTTGCAATCGCATCGTGACCTACGATGAAGTCACTGTCACCTGAGCCACCTGATAAAAGGTCACATTTTCGATTCTTTGTGTTCAGTTTTGATTCCGGTCTGGTAGCACCAACACTGGAGCTCCGTTTTGGATTAAAAGTAGCACGTGTTCGCGAATTTCTAATTTATTGTTAATAAATATTAACAAAAATGCTTTGTGTTAAATGCTGTGAACACGAAGGAAAGTGGATATTTTTCCGAAAATGGCCGAGTTTTTTGAAATTTATTGTTAATAACATGCATTCAGCACTGATAAAGTGCGGCTAGAACAAGGTCTAGAATCCATTGTAAATATAATTAAACCAGTATAATTTTTGGAAGTCACATTTTATTGCTCCGTTAATACACTTTCATAACCCTAAGTCTACTTTTACTCGGCGGCATCCCCCTTCGCCTTCTTCAGGTCATCAGCGATGAAGAGGGAAGCCACAAAGTACAAGATGCCTCCCACTATCGCCACCAGCAGCGTCAAAAGCACTGCGTGTTGGATGGCGTAAACGTCGTTACTCGGATTCTTTTCCTTCCTGTCGTAGTACCGAGTCAGCCCAGCAGCCACTAATCTCGTTATTTCAGAACTCCACGCGTGGCCCAGAGCATTCGTGGCGAACAGCATTATGCCGATGGCGCTCCCTCTCCTCGAAGGCACCACAACTCCCAAACAGATATCCGTCGTGATCGCCCAAATCATGCTCAAAAAAAAAAATCCCAAAAACAGGACGCCGTAGGTGGCGTACTTATCGGTGTACGTCAGCTCGGTGGCAAGGAAGATGAACGGCATCGCCGCCAGTACGCCCATGCTGCAGATCATGGGGTCTCCACGGGGGTACGTCTCCTTCACGTTCCGTGAAATAAGATAGGCCACCAGTAATCCTAGGGAGCCCCCCAGGAAAAACATCAGATCGTTCGAAGAATACACAGAGTGTGGTTCGATGTCAGGGTACTTAATTTTCAAGCCCTTGTACAAGAGCGGGGAAAACCACAGCCCTAACGTCCCCGTGCAGTAACGCACAGCCGATAGAGCCAGCGTCGTGATCAAGTAGCTCCTATTTCTCAAAAGGTACTTCAAGTCCTCGTCAAACATGGTGACTTCCATCTGCCTCCCGTCCAGCTCCCCGCGAGCCGGCTCGTGCAGCATCACCAGCGCCAGCACCATGTTGACGACCCCCACGACTACGAGGAGACGCAGACACCACATCCAGTTGCTGAACAGTATCGGGGCTAGCGTTCTCACCAAAAACTTGATTCCAATGCTCACGGGCCGCGTCAGATAGTACACACAGAGCAGCCTTGAGCGCATATCCCCCACGAACAAGTCGCTGAGGAGAGTCGGTGCGACAACGTTGACACACGCCTCACCCAAGGCCGCCAAAGCCACCATCACCAGGAAAAGCCATAATTTCGGGGCGAAGGATGCACACAAGTTGCTGAAGCTCCACACGCCCACCCCCAACGCCACGAGGTACTTCCTGGAGAACCTGTCAGTGAGGTACCCGAAAACGGGAGAACTGAACATGGAGGGCAACACGAAAGCCAGGCGAAGCAAAGTCCTCACTTCGTCGTTGATCTCGAAGTACTTTTGGAGGTCCTTGAAGGTGGCCCCCATGAAAACGAAATTGCAGTGGTACATGAAGTTGATGAAGATTAGGATGGAGGCGTCGCAGTACTTGCGTTTGTTTGGGGGCGGCGCTGCGGGGGCGGGATTATGAGCGTCAGGCATGGAGCTGCAGCATCAGTTGTGACGGTTTTGACATTTTCGGGACGACGCCCTCTTAATTTTCTTTGCGTATTAACTAAAGCTACTTTGACGTAAATTATCCATTAACTTTTAGGTTTCAATTAAACATGTTATACATTTTCAGTCAATTTTCATCTAAATGATAATTGTGGAACTTTAGTTTTACCTATCGTCCACTATGTTACTAGAAATTCGTCCGAGCGTCTTCGTTTTTCGAGGGAAGGCGTAGCAGCGGTATGCATGACCACACCACAGCCCCATTACTTATTCGTGACGTTCATGCGTAGAACAAACTCGACATTGTATCCGAAACCATGGTAGAAGGAGACATGGTATGGGCATCCGATGTACCAATTTAAAAATGGTCTGCGCATCCATTTGTGACGTTAGGTGGCATCAACGACCTTGTGATTCTTATGAGCTTCGCTAGGGAAGTCTAGGGAATTTCAGCTTGAGTTGTCATTGCTCTGTCCAATACGTCAATTAGTTGTCGGATAACGAATTGTATTTTAAATTTCGCGCTAATTTCACCCCACTTGACGTCACACCTGATGCGTATGCCTATACCATGTCTCCTTCTACCATGTCCGAAACATAATTTATGAAGACAGGTTAAGTGTGCTCGGTTTAACACCTTCAAGTCATGTGCGTATGCAAAATAAGCTCACCAAAAGCGGTGATTTATTATGGACTATTATCGTTAAAGTGTACTAATTACGGCGGGGGATTAAGCACCCGACTAATCGAGAAATAAAACTACCGCAAGTATTTCGACAAAGTTTTAATCGCTGAACAGCACTCGATGAACGCTTAACCTGTCATAAATACGAGTACACGCTGACGAAGTTGGATTTTAATTTCGCTTGTAGTCGACGAATTATGCGGACTAGTGTTTTAAACAAGGATTAAACACTTCGGAAACGGGCTTGGCGTCGGCGGGAGTAGTCGAGAGGCGATTAAACGGAGCTGTCGGAGGGAATTTTTAGTGAGTGCTTACTTCGAATTCAGCCAGCTGATGGAATCGATTCGAATTTTGGCAGATGAGGAAGGGTTAATTTTTCGCAAAAATTACAAACAACTAAAACTCGGAAACTTAGTCGAACTGGTGTAAAAAAAGAAAAGATTGTAAAAAGTGGAACAAAATACCAGGATTCTCAGAGATAGTTTTAAATTGACATTCTTTAAAAACAAAGACCAGGGGTTCTCAAGGTTGCTTCAAATTGTTTATAAAAGTAATAGGGACTCTCGAGCTTCTCTGAACTATCAGAAAGAAGGAAATAGGGGAAAGGTTCAGCTTCTTTAAAGAAAAAGGACAGTTGGGTCCCCGAGACGGTTTTACATTGCCTAAAAACACATTTGAAGCCCTCGAGGTTTCACCCTTAAAAAAAAAATAGTTGGAGTCCTCGAAAAGGTTTTACATTGTTTAAATAAAAAGACAGTTGAGGTCCCCGAGAAGGTTTGCCATTCTTAAAAAACACAGTTGAGGCTCTCAAAAAGGTTTCCCATTCTTAAAAGACATTCTTGGAGCCTCCGAGAAGGTTTTACCTTAAAAAAAAGACACTTGGGGTCACCGAGAAGGTTTTAGATAAAAAAAAGACTGCTGAGCTCCCGAAAAAGTTTGTCATTCTTAAAAACACAGTTGAAGTCTTTAAGAAGGTCATCTTCATTTAAGGTAGTTGGATTCTTAAAAAAAAAAGACTCCAAGAAGGTTTGCCCTTGTTAAAAAACAGAGTTGGTTCCCTCAAGAAGGCTTCCCATTTTTAAAAAACACTGTTAGTGCTTCCGAGAAGGTTTTACCTTAAAAAAAAACACAGTTGTAGCCCTCGAGAAGGTTTCATCTTTAAAAAAAAAGGCAGTTGGTGTCCGCGAAAAAGTTTTATATTCTTTAAATAAAAAGGCAGTTGAAGCCCTCGAGAAGGTTTCTTATTATTAAATCACTATTGGGACCTCTGAGAAAGTTTTACATTCTTTAAATAAAAGACAGGTGAGGCCCCCGAGGTTTCCCATTCTTGAAAAACACTGTTAGGGTCTCCGAGAAGGTTTTACCTTAAAAATAAACACAGTTATAACCCTCGAGAAGGTTTCATCCTTAAAAAAAAGGCAGTTGGTGTCTCAGAGAAGGTTTTAGATTAAAAAAAAAGACAGTTGAGGCTCCCGAGACGGTTTGCCATTCTTAAAAACACAGTTGAAGTCCTTAAGAAGGTTTCCCATTTTTAAAAAAGACCGTTGGGTCCGTGAAGGTCATCTTCATTAAAGGTAGTTGGGACCCGTTAGGTTTTATTTAAAAAAAAAAGACAGTTGGGTCCCCCGAAAAGGTTTTGAGGTATGTTTAAAAAAAGACAGTTGGGTACTCGAGAAGATTTCACTTAAAAAAAGACAGTTGGAGTTCTTGTTTGTTTTACATTGTTTAACAAAAAGATTCCTCATATCTTTAACTGCCTTCCCCCCCAAAAACGCAGAAGGGATCCAGGGTTTCTTTCGCATTCCTAAAGATACTTAGATTCTTTGAAAAAAAAAGACCCCAAGAAGGTTTGCCCTTCTTAAAAAACACAGTTGGGGTCCCCCAGAAGGTTTTACCTTAAAAAACACAGTTGGAACCCTCGAGAAGGTTTCATCCTTATAAAAAAGGCAGTTGGGGTCCCCGAGAAGGTTTTATATTCTTTAAATAAAAAGGCAGTTGAAGCCTCCGAGAAGGTTTTTCATTCTTAAAAAACACTATTGGAGCCTCTGAGAAAGTTTTACATTCTGTAAATAAAAGACAGTTGAGGCCCCCGAGGTTTCCCATTCTACAGTAACACTGTTAGGGCCTCCGAGAAGATTTTACCTTAAAAAAATACAGTTGGAAAACTCGATTAGGGTTCATTCTTAAGAAAACGGCAGTTGAGGTCCCCGAGAAGGTTTCTCATTCTTAAAAAACACTATTGAGGCACCCGAGAAAGTTTTACATTCTTTATATTAAAAGACAGTTGAAGCCCCCGAGAAGGTTTTCCATTCTTAAAAAACACTGTTGGGGCCTCCGAGAAGGTTTTACCTTAAAAAAACACAGTTGCAGCCCTCGAGAAGGTTACATCCTTAAAAAAAAGGCAGTTGGGGTCTCCGAGAAGGTTTTAAATTAAAAAAAAAAGAAAGCTGAGGCTCCCGAGAGGGTTTGCCATTCTTAAAAACACAGTTGATGTCCTTAAGAAGGTTTCCCATTATTAAAAAAGACCGTTGGGCCCGTGAAGGTCATCGTCATTAAAGGTAGTTGGGACCCGTTGGGTTTTATTTAAAAAAAAAGACAGTTGGTTCCCCCGAAAAGGTTTGAAGGTATGTTTAAAAAAAGACAGTTGGGTACTCGAGAAGATTTAACTTAAAAAAAGACAGTTCGAGTTCTTGGGGTGTTTTACATTGTTTAACAAAAAGATTCTTCATATCTTTAACTGCCTCCCTCCCAAATTCTTTCACATATAAAAAAAACGCAGAAGGGATCCAGGGTTTCTTTCGCATTCCTAAAGATACTTGGATTCTTTAAAAAAAAAAGACCCCAAGAAGGTTTGCCCTTCTTAAAAAACACAGTTGGGGTCCCCGAGAAAGTTTTACCTTAAAAAACACAGTTAGAGCCCTTGAGAAGGTTTCATCCTTAAAAAAAAGGCAGTTGGGGTCCCCGAGAAGATTTTATATTCTTTAAATAAAAAAGCAGTTGAAGCCCCCGAGTAGGTTTTTCATTGTTAAAAAACACTATTGGGGCCTCTGAGAAAGTTTTACATTCTTTAAATAAAAGACAGTTGAGGCCCCCGAGGTTTCCCATTCTACAAAAACACTGTTAGGACCTCCGAGAAGGTTTTACCTTAAAAAAACACAGTTGGAGCCCCCGAGAAGGTTTCAACCTTAAAAAAAAATTGGGATCCCTGAAGAGGTTTTACATTCTTTAAATAAAAAGACAGTTGATGCCCCCAAGAAGGTTTGTCATTCTTAAAACACACACTTTGGACCGTCAAATAGGTTTCCCATTCTTAAAAATCACTGTTGAAACCCTCGAAAAGGTTTTACCTTAAAGAAAGGCAATTGAGGTCCCCGAGAAAATTTTACATTCTTTATATAAAAGACAGTTGAGGCCCCCGAGAAGGTTTTCCATTCGTAAAAAACATTCTTGGAGCCTCCGAGAAGGTTTTACCTTAAAAAAAAGACAGCTCTGGCCCCGAAAAGGTTTGTCATTCTTAAAAACACAGTTGAAGTCCTTAAGAAGGTTTCCCATTTAAAAAAAACACAGTTGGGTCCCTCAAGAAGGATTCCCATTCTTAAAAAACACTGTTAGGGCTCCCGAGAAGGTTTTACCTTAAAAAAAACACAGTTGGAGCCCTCGAGAGGGTTTCATCCTTAAAAAAAATAGTTGGGATCCCCGAATAGGTTTTACATTCTTTAAATAAAAAGACAGTTGATGTCCCAGAGAAAGTTTGCCATTATTAAAAAACACAGTTTGGGCCGTCAAAGTTTCCCATTCTTAAAAATCACTGTTGGGACCCCCGAAAAGGTTTTATGTTTAAAAAAAGACAGTTGGGTACTCGGGAAGATTTCACTTAAAAAAAGACAGTTGGAGTTCTTGGGATGTTTTACATTCTTTAACAAAAAGATTCCTCATATCTTTAACTGCCCCCCTCCCAAATTCTTGCATTAAAAAAAAAACGCAGAGAGATCCAAGGTTTCTTTCGCATTCCTAAAGATACTTGGATTCTTAAAAAAAAAGACTCCAAAAAGGTTGGAGCCTCCGAGAAGGTTTTACCTTAAAAAAACAGAGTTGGAACCCTCGAGAAGGTTTTATCTTAAAAAAAAAGGCAGTTGGGGTCCCCGAAAAGGTTTTACATTTTTTAAATAAAAAGACAGTTGATGCCCTCGAGAAGGTTTGCGATTCTTAAAAAACACAGTTGGGGCCGTCAAGAAGGTTTCCCATTATTAAACATCACTGTTGGGACCCCCGAAAAGGTTTTACCTTAAAAAAAGGACAGTTGGGGTCCCCGAGAAGGTTTCCCATTCTTAGAAAACACTGTTGGGGTCTTCGAGAAGGTTTTACGTTAAAAAACACAGTTGGAAACCTCGAGACGGTTCGAGAAAGTCATCTTCTTTAAAGGTAGTTGGATTCCCTTCGGTTTTACTTAAAAAAAAAAACATTTGAGGCCCCCGAGAAGATTTTATTTAAAAAAAAACAGTTGCACCTAATCTGACTTGATCTGACTTGACATCTCGATTGTCCCAAATAAACAAATTTTAAACTTTTCTATGAATACATAAAAACCAAAAAGCACACCCTTAAAATATTTGATGTATTTTGTGAAACAAAAATTGACTGAATCGTTTTTTGAGGTCACGCTACCACCTGGTACAGGTATTTTAACTGTTGCCAAAATGCATTTAATTTGCATGTTGTTCTCTCTTTTGCAACATTGTTCTGTTAGATCACGAAGCATTATTATTATTAGCGTTTCGTCATTTCTCCAATTTTTCGTTTTTTGTTGAAATCCGCCCCTCCCGCCGCCGCTGCCCCCGCTCGCGCCCCATAAACAATAAAAACACTTCGACCGCTAATGGCCGCAAAATGATTGATGAAAACGTCCGCTACATTTATGTGTCAGCGACAATTTCTTTAATAATAAAAAAACAAAATACGCTCGAAAGCGTAGGGGCGAAAAACGTTTGTTGCCGCCATAATGGAGGTAAAATTTCCGTATTGAGTCGGGTCGAACATCAGGAATAAATAATATTCGGAGGGGTTACGCGGTAGGGTTTAGTTGAATCTTTTATGTGCACTTGTAGAGGGATTCGGCGAAAAAAGTTTTTTTGCAAACGTACCTAAAATGGAAAAGTGCTGTGCTGTTTTTATCGCTTGGCAAAAAATTCTCTCCCAGAAATTATGCATGGGCCCATGATCGGAGTCGGGTGTTCTTCGCAGAGACGCCACTGGCGCAACTTTAACGAAGTGCGACGACGGGATTTTTATTTTGATTTTGATGCGAAATGAAAAGTAGGCAAGTGGATTTTTTCGCATCGCTTTGTTTACGATTTCCGAGCCGAAACAGCGAAAACCTTGCAGGAAAATCCTCTTCCGAGCTCAACAATCGCCGTTATCTGGCGGCGATAAATTTAAAGAACACGTGCCGCAAATCGTCCAGCTGCGCAAGCAAGATTCAAAAACACGGACCAAGGACAATCGTTTAAGAATGAGAAGGGAGCGGCTTATACTTATAATACGTCTTTCATATCACCTCGAGTAGAAGCGCACGGGCCGCGATGGGACAGCTGCACTTCAACTTCTAAAAGAACTCATTCTTTTCAAAGATTTACGCTTCTTAGCGCACGGAACGCGTCTTTTGGGGTTACTCATGTGATGGGGAAAGTGTATTGGGAAAAAGTAAGGCGATGCGAAGCGCGGACGAAAGGAAGGCGGATTTTTAAATTCGACGATGTTTATTTTATCCGATTTTTGCTCGCACGTGAGGGAACGCGGGCCGGAAAATTCGGGCCAAACCGGAGCCACTTACTCGTCGAAACCAAACACCGGATTTGTGGGACGCGATTCTGACAATTATGCGCTAGAAAATGACGATATTGTCAACAAGGGTAGTTAATACGTGACGTATTATTTGATGTGGATTTGAAGATTCACTCGAGACATAAATGACACTACAGTGCTAACCTTAATTGTTACCACAGAGAATTGTGGCTAAACGTAGTGTACTTAGACTATTATCCAGAAATAAGTAGAGTAATTACCTTAATATAAGAGGGCGTCGTCCCGAAAATGTCAAAACTGTCACAACTGACTCCAAGCCCATGGCTGATAATCGGAATCCCGCGACCGCAGCGGCGCCCCCAGATCCATCATCCCCCTCGCCGCCCCTAGACATACGCAAAATCTTCGATTCGTTCATCATCATCTTCAACGTCTTCATGATCAAGATAAACGACATAATTCGGGAGACCTTCCTAAAGTACCTCCAAGAGTACTTCTGCCTCGACGAGTGGGGGATGAGACATATCGAGCACGTGTTCGCGGTGACCTTCCTACTCTCGTCTTCCATTTTCGGTTTCTTGACTGACAGGTTCTCCAGGAAATACCTCATCGTCTTTGGGGTGGGTGTGTTGAACGTCAGCATCCTGTGTGAATCCTTCGTCAGCGCGTACTGGATCTTCCTGGTGCTGCACGCTCTTGAAACCTTGGGCATAACGTGTGTCTACGTCGTCAGCCTCCCCATGCTCGGCGACCTGTTCGTGGGGGATATACGCTCCAGAATGCTCTGCGTCTACTACCTGATGCGGCCACTATCCAGAATGATTGTGTTATTGGTCAGGACGCAAATCCAGATACTGTTGGGCAGCTGTTGGTCGAGTTTACGGGCCAGCTTCGTCGTGGGAGTGGTCAACGTGGTACTAGGACTATTGGTACTACGTGAACCACCTCGCGGCGAAGTCGACGGGCGGCAAATGGAAGTCACCCCTATCGAGGAAGACTTGAAGTACCTTTTGAGGAACAGGACCTACATGATGACGACGTTGGCTCTAACAGCTATGGCTTGCTGTCAAGGAGCTCTAACGACATTGTTCGGTACGCTCTTATTCGATGGCTTGAAAATCAATAACCCCGACCTCGACCCCTACGTCGTGAGTTCTATCTTCGAGTTGATCATCCACATGTCGAGCATCGTGGGGCTGCTGGCAGCGTATCTTATTTCACGGAAGCTGAAGGAGAAGTACCCCCGTGCAGACCCTCTTATGTGTAGCATAGCCCTTCTGACGGCGACGCCATTGGCCATCATAACCACCTACCTGTCCAACAAAGACCAGATTTCCACCTACGTGGTCTTGTTTTTTGGAAATGTTTGTCTGAATATGATTTGGGCCATCACAATGGATATCTGTTTGGGAGTGGTGGTGCCTTCGAGGAAAGGGTGCGCCATTGGGACAACGCTGTTCTTTGCCTTTGGCTTGGGAAGCACGTGGAGTTCAGATATAACAAAGATAGTTTCAGATGGGCTTTACCATTACTACCAAAGCCTGGAAGAGCATCCGGATAATAAATTTTACGGCCTACAACACGCGTGTTTCTTGTCGTTAGTAGGGCTCATTGTGGGAGCTGTGTTGTACTTTGCGGCTTCCCTCTCCATCACCGATGACCTGAAGGAGGCGAAAGGGAACGCCGCGTAAAAATAGGCTTAAGTTTATTAAAATGTTGTATAATGGAGTATTTCAAAAACGTTAGTTTATTAAACAAACAAAAAAATATGAAAGCATATTCCTGAAAATAGCAAAACTGTGACAACTCACACACCAGGATCCAGGCAACATTTATTATTGTGTCTACTTTAGATGATTTTTTTATTATTTAAATGTAAACGCTGATGGCAACCTCGTTTAAAATTTAATGTAACAAAACAAAATTTTCTTAAAAAAATGTACTCCTAGATTCTATTATTTATTAATAATACCAGAACCAATAAAATGAGTGATCGAAGCGATATAGCGGTGGGTGGGCGGGGCCACTTTGACACTGTTTTAAACCTTAGGTCCTACCGCTTGCCAAAACTGAACTGAATTCCCATTTTACAGTAAATAAAATAACTCAGTGAAATTAAAAGTGAAAGTGGGCGGGGCTAAGGTTAGCTTTTTTCTATAGATTTAAAGCAGTTGCCCCACCCACCCACCCTCTCTTCATTCCAATGACTACTCTTAATATTGTTAATTAATGTCGTTATTATCTTATTAAAATCCAAGAAAAAACGAGGTATCTAGAAAGTATTAAACTGGTGTTAAATAACCATACCGGCGTGAGAATCATATTCAGAAAGCAATATTACGGATGGTCCTCCCTCTCGCACAAACTCCACCTTAATAAATCATTTCATTGGCCCGGAGAAGAAGGGCGGAGTTTACAATTGTATATTATTGTGTCTACTTTAGATGATTTTTTTTATTATAAACGCTGATGGCAAACTATTTTTTAATATCAGATATGGAATTTCATTGGTGAAATCGTCGCGCTGACCTGATCTGACCTTTTGCGTCATTCTCTCAAGGTTTTTTTGTTTTTTTTTTTAACTTTTAACTTGGTACATGTTGAACGTGAACAATTATTCAATTTTTCAGTGTTTCAATTTTCCATCAATTTTTCAATTTTTGTTTCTTCAATTTAAAATTTCTCCAGTTTTCAGTTTTTAATTTATCATTCTTTTATTTTTCATGTCTTCAAATTTTCAAAATTTTTTGTTTCGATTTTTTATTTTTATTATTTTTACAATTTACAACACTTCGATTCTTAAATTTTTCAATTTTTCGTTTAGATTTTTAGACTTTTTACCTTCCATTTTTCAATTCTTAAATTTTTAAGTTTAAAGTTTTCAGGTTTTCAATTTTTAAATTTTAAATTTTCGATTCTTTAGTTTTTCATTTTTTCGATTTGGAATTTTCCATTAGACTTTTTTATTTTCTTTATTTTATAATTTTGCTATTTTTTATTTTTTTTATTTCTTCAATTGTACGATATGTTCAAGTTTTAGTTTCTTCAATTTTTTCATTTGTCTAGTTTTCATTTTAAGTACCTACATATGTATAATTAAATTATGATTTTTAAAATGTTTCACTTTTTCAATTTTATGATTTTAGAATTTTTCCATTTTTTTGCAATATTTAGGGTTTCCAATTTTTCTATTCATTCACTTTTTCGATTTTTAAGTTTTTCAATTTTTAGTGTTTCAATGTTTCAATTTATCATTTATTCAGTTCTTCGATCCCCAGATTTTCGATTTTCTATTTTTCCAATTTTGTAATTTTTCGAAACAAAAAGCAAAAATTACAAAATTATAAAACTGAAAAGTCAAAAATTAAAAACCAAAAATGTATAAATTGGAAACTTTGAAAATTCTGAAAAACGAAAAATTGTAATACAAAAGTGAGAAAATGAAAAATAAAAATCAAGAACTTGAAAAAGTGAAATTCGAAAAATTTTAAAAATTAAAGTCGAAAAAACGAAAATTTATGATCTCAAAAAAATTATTTTTACAAATTTTGATGATAGACAACGCGAATTCGGTCAAACTAGAAAAAATCTGCGCTCTACTGAACGTCCCGCAGTTTGTAGAACACGAAAATGTACGTAATTCTTCTTTCTAAAATAATTTGCTCCTAGTAATTATCAGCTTAAATTAGAAATCCAGTCGTTACTTCCTTTCGCTTGAGCGAATCAACCTGAATAAATTTTGAATCATTAGTTGAAGTAATAAAGTCTAAAATTCACGCTTTTAACCTCAAAAACGAATCAGTTTTTGCTCCACATAGGAAACATTTTATCTCAACATTTCCTACAATTTGAGATAAAAATCTAAGAATCGGTGCATTCAATCCGCTCCCTAGTTAAAACAATCAAAAACAAAGCCCCGATTCGAAGTTAGCGGCCACATTTCACCGGCGACGTTTCCCGTCCTAGGTCGATTTAAATTAAGCAAAGTTTCAATTGCGAGCTTTAGTTCCAAAGCTGCGTACATTTCTTGGTTCGATTTAAAATAAATCGAGACTTTCCAAAGCGCTAAATAAATTATCCTCCCCGAAGCCACCGCGGCTCCCTTAAAAAAACGCCTTTAAATTTTCTCAACGTAAGAATAATTGTCTTCCGCAATTTAAGTCGTGCTTCTTATTACCGTAAGTGGGTGCTAAGTAATTGCTTGTGTTAATCCTGCACCGAGCTTTATTGGCCACTTTGAAAATTAGGTCTCTACTGTACAGATTTTAATCTCGGGATGCGCTTTTTTAACTATTCCTCTAACCTGCCATTTACAACAACATTTTTCCCGAAACTTCTCTCCCCCACTGAGATAATCAACCCTAATTGAATCCATGGTGGTGAAAATCGCGTCGATGGGGGTCACGTTTTGGTAATTATCGGATACGGGTGCCGCGCTTTCGCCCCCTGCGCTATTTTTGTCTGATAATAACACCCGGGTTCGTAATTTCTTTGACTCGATACGAAATAGAGGAATTCTCGCATTAAAATCGGGAAAGCCGTCTGTTTTTCTCTTGACGAAAAAATGTAACAAACGTCTTATTAAATTTGTCACGTTTTGTTCCTTTCTTTTGCAATTTTATGCTTTGGCGCACTCGGGTTTTGCGCGGCGCTGAGCGCTTTGTGTCATTTTCACGTGTTTTTAAAGGGGGCGGGCGAGGGGGAGGCTTTTTTAATAACTGATATTTCGCCCGCTTTGAAACTGCTTTAGTTTATTTCGGGAGGTAAAGTGCGTCAACAAAGTGTGGAATCAGTTCGTTTGAATTTTATTAAATACGGCTATAATTTCTCGACGATCTAAGAGATCTAGAGATATTGAGAATGAAAATGGTGTAAATATGTAATGCAATTTCTTTTTCTTTATCGTTTCCTTCGTCATCGGACCTAAATTGAAACAATTATTTTGAATTCAATTATGCCACAATTTTTTCTGCGTCTTTTCTGGCATTCGAGACACGTTTTCGTCGACAAATTTCTGGGCTGAGTGGTGAATTTTTCATTTCCACTACTGGGACAAAGAGAATTTAATTAAACTAGCTATACTTAAAAAAACAGTCGAGAAGATTTCAATCTTGAGGTTTAATATTGTTAAAAAAAAAACAGTTGAGAGGCCCCGACAAGGTCTCACAGTCTTAAAAAAGAAGTTGGGGTCCCGAACAAGGTTCCATGTTCTTCAAAAAAGACAGTTGGGGAACCCCGGAAGATTACGCCTACTTTAAAAAACACAGACGATTGGAGCCCCCGGAGAAGGTAAAATCCTTTAATAAATAAAAGACAGTTGAGGACCCGAGAAGGTTTTACATTAAAAAAAAAAAGCAGTTGGGGGCCACAAGAAGGTTTCAGTCTTAAAAAAAAACAGATGGCGGCCCCGAGAAGATTTTATCTTCTTGAAAAAAAGATAGTTGGTACCTCTGAGAAGGTTTCATTTTCTTAAAAAAAAAGACAGTTGGGGCCCCGAGAAGATTTCATCATATTAAAAAAAAAAAAACATTTGGGCCCCCAGAGAAGGTTTTACATTCTTTAAAAAAACATAGTTGAGGGTCCCGAAATGGTCTCATATTCTTAAAAAACCTGGTCGAAACTTATTTCGACAGAATTTTCCTAACTTGTGGAGTTCAGGCCAACAAATCTCGCTCCTTTGAAAAATTATATACTCCTTTTTTTTGTTTTTATCTGAAAACCTCTATAAAGTTGAGACCAGGGTATAAATAACACCCCTCCCTTTATTTTATAATTTTTAGGTTTTTCAATTTTCAAGTTATCAGTTTTCAATTTTTGAAATTTTTCGATTTTTCAATTTTTCAATTTGGTTTTTTTACTTTCTTTATTTTTAAAATTTTTCGGTTTTTAAACTAAATTTTCCGATTTTAAAATTTTTGTTTTTTGAATTTTTGTTTCTTTAATTTTTCGACTTGCGATTATTCAATTTTTAATTTTTTTTGGTCCTTTAGTTGTACGATATGTAATTGTTTTCATTCAAAAATGTTCAGTTTTTTGGTTTTCCAAATTTTGGATGCCTCAGGATTTAGATTTTTCAATTCTTCATTTGTTAAATTTCACGATTTGAAATTTTTCGATTCGGTTCTTTGTTTTTTCTATTTTTTAATTTTTTCGCCTTTTCAATGTTTCGATTTTGAAATTTTTCAATTTTTTAATATGCATTTTGTCGGTTTTCAATTTTCCGGTTGTTCTATAATTTTTCAAAATTTTCAGTGTTTCGATTTTTCATCAATTTTTCATTTTTTTGTTTCTTCAATTTAAAATTTCTCCAGTTTTCAGTTTTTAATTTATCACTTTTTCGATTCTTTTATTTTTCATTTCTTCGAATTATCGTTTTATCAACTTTCCGATTGTTCAGTTTTGGAATTTTTTAACCTATCGATTCTTAAATTTTTCAATTTTTGATTTAGATTTTTAGACTTTTTACCTTTCTGATTTTTCAATTTTCAATTCTTCAATTTTTCAAGTTTAAATTTTTCAGGTTTTCAATTTTTAAGTTATCAATTTTTCATTTTTAAATTTTTCGATTCCTCAGTTTTTCATTTCTTCGATTTACAATTTTCGATTCAATTTTTTAATTTTCTTTGTTTTTATAATTTTTCGATGTGTGAATTTTCCGATCTTATAAATTTTTGTTTTCTCAATTTCGATTTTTTCAATTTTTCGTTTCTTTAATTTTTCGACTTCCAATTTTGCAATTTTTCTTTTTTTTCCCTCAATTGTACGATATGTAACTCTTTTTTAAAATGTTTAGTTTTTCGATTTTCCAAATTTTGTTTTCATAATTTTTCAATTTTTCAATTTTTCAGTGTTTTGATTTTTCATCAATTTCTCATTCTATTAGTTCTTGAGTTCCCAGATTCTGTAATTTTTCGATTAAAATTCCTCCAGTTTTCAGTTTTCAATTTTTCGATTCATTAATTATTATTCATTTCTTCAAATTTTCGATATGCATTTTTTTGTTTCGGTTCTTTATTTTCATTATTTCTGATTTTTCAAATTTTCAATTTTTCGAGTTTTCGGTTTCTCAATTTTTCGATATTTTCGTTTTACGATTTTTCAATTTTTCAATTTTGCGTTTGAAAATTTTCGATTTTTTTAATAATTGATTTTTCGATTTTTTGATATTTCAGTTTTAGAATTTTTCATTTATTTGCCTCTTCAGCTTCAATTGTTGACGTTCGTAGTTTTCGATTTCTCGCCTTTCCATTTCTCGATTTTTTTGACTTTTCGACTATTAGATTTTTCCATATATTTTGATTTTCCTAATTCTCAATTTCTCAATTTTTCGATGATTCAATTGCCGATTTTTTAGGTTTTTTGATTTTCAGTCCCCGATTGTTCAAGTTTTAGTTTCTTCAATTTTTGGTTGGCAATTTTTCTAGTTTTCATTTTAAGCATGTATAATTAAATTATGATTTTTAAAATGTTTCACTTTTTCAATTCTATGATTTTAGAATTTTTCCATTTTTTTACAATATTTAGACCCGATTTATAGAAAGCGAAGTTAAAATTAATTCGCGATTAACTTTTAACTGAGGTCCGTTGCTAGGAAACGTGCATGTTTCAACCAATCACGGTCTCATATTCCACATTTTAATTCTCTGTTAAACTAATCGAGGATTAAATATTTAACTCGCTGTTCTATAAACCGGCCCTTAGGGTTTCCAATTTTTCTAGTCATTAACTTTTTCGATTTTTAAGTTCTTCAATTTTTAGTGTTTCAATATTTCAATTTATCATTTATTCAGTTTTTCGATCCCCAGATTTTCGACTTTCTATTTTTCCAATTTTGTAATTTTTCGAAACAAAAATGCAAAAATTACAAAATTATAAAATTAAAAAGTCAAAAATTAAAAACCAAAAATGTATAAAATGGAAACTTTAAAAATTCTAAACAACGAAAAACTGTAAAATATAAAAGTGCGAAAATGAAAAATAAAAATTAAGAACTTGAAAAAGTGAGGAAACAAAAATTTGAAATTTGAAAAATTTTAAAAATGAAAAAATTAAAGTTTTTTTTACAAATTTTGCTCCAAGATAGACAACGCGAATTCGGTCAAACTAGAAAAAATCTGCGCTCTACTGAACATTCCGCAGTTTTAGAACACGAAAATGTACGTAATTCCTCTTCCTAAAATAATTTGCTCCTAGTAATTATCAGCTTAAATTAGAAATCCAGTCTCTATACAGTGTGTGGGAAAATCAAGCCGCTGCTGACTATCGCGCAAAACTCTCCCTTTGTGGACTCAAGGTGTTGCTCAAAGCCGTGGGAAAGCAGGGATGTGTAAGGGAATCCGACCCTAGCACCTTTCCTTCAGGTGGCTCTGGCCCGCATTGTGAGAAATGAAATCGATGTTCACCCTTGAAATGCAAATTCCGCCGTGATTATGGTAATGTCACCGACGAACACCCGGATTCTCCAAAAAAGCAGCGATTTTTGCCCAATTAAATTCAACTCAGTTCCAATATTCCCGAAAACAAAAACATCCAGAGATGGTAGATTAAACCAAGACCCCAGATTCCCCCCGAACCTGTTCTGTTCTTCCCCATGGGAAGATTCCTTGGCGTGCGTTACCAGCGAGGGTCCAACAAAGCCCAATTGTCCGTCTTGGACCCGTTCCGTTGGGGAGAAGGGTCCCTCGCTTGTATAAAAACCCTCCGATCTGCCCAAAAACCGTCACTCGCTCCGAGTCCGTCGACCGGGGTGCCCTTCCAGGGCCGCTCCCGAGCCCTGTGCCTGTGTTTGTTGTTGCAGAAGTGTGAAACGCCGCTCCGTTCAGGTAATTCCGTTTTATTTTCTATTTGTTTGTGCGAGCTTTGATTTATTCGTTCCGTTGCCATTCGACTCCACCCGAGTATGAAGTGAAAATTTCGACAATCAATTTGATTCCAGTCAAAACGCGATCGGTAACTAGGTTAAAGTCGGCCGGCACTATTTCAAAAAAATGCGAGATTTTACAAGCTTTGTTCGACGCGAGAGATCAAGGCGGCTTTGTGCGCGCAGGATAAAAGGATCCGGGACGTATCCTCACAAAGTAGAGAAATATGCAATAGCAAACAATATTTCAGGACCCTCCTGAAATGAACAAGAGTTTCTTTTCGGAGTAAACGTTTCACTTAATAAATAATAAATTCGACGAAATTAATAAGGGTTCTCTTGTTTCAGGTGGCCAGGCGTTCTACGTTACGTACTGGTGTTAGAAAGCTGTTAAGTTTGTGTTATGTCGTTACGTTACGTTGTACACTGAGCTTTAAGCACTGTTACCGACATGTTACGTTACGTTAAGTTTGTTGTTACGTTATGTTTGTTGGTTGTTACGTTGCGACGAAGAAATCTCTGTTGTTGTTAAGTTTTGGAAAGAATTCACCTGTTCTGTTTACCCTTTACCACTTTGGCAGTCGAAAATCAAAATTCGTTTATGTTGCGTTATTGTTAAGTTTACAACCACGTTAAGGTTAAGTTTATGTTAAGTTTCGACGAGATGTGTTCAGGTAGCGTGGAATTTAACATGATTCCCTGTACCGTAATTGTTATGTTTTTTTTTTCACTTATTTTGTGTTTATTTTTAGTTTCAGTTTTTTTTATTTTCACGTTTTTTCTCCAAAAGAACCACTACATAAAAAAAATAAAAAAAAAAATCGTAAAAGTACACAAATCCGGGAGTTGGTACGAAATTGACAGTCAGTAAATCGTAACGAATTAGTTAATAATAATAATTATAATTAGGGTGTGTTGTAGACTTAATTAGGTTATTTTAGGTTACCAGACCGGTGTTAAAGTTACGTAATCAATTACCATTAGTTATAGTTAAGTTTAATTAGGTGTTAGTTCTTTGGTTGCCTTTAGTGCCTTATTAATTTTACTATAAGTTCCAACTTTCTCCCATTTGAACTTTTACTCAAAGTTCCGAGAACACTTTTTCTTTGACCGCTTCGAGGCACTTTGAGTACCTTTCATATGGCAGAACGTTCCACCTTTACTTTCTTATTTAGTTAGGGGACAGTACACTTGATTTTGAGTACAATACTGACAAAAATAGTTTTCCGACAGTTTGCTTTTGTACGATCTGCTCTTCTACCACTTTTTGTTTTTTTTTTTGTTAAGTTTTTTTTTTGTTTGTAAATACTGTACATAATAATACCAAATAAACCAAAATTTCCAACCACGTCGTCTTCTTTCCCCCGTTAAAATTAACTTTGTTGAGCAAATTTGACAAGTTTAATGCGTCTTTTATTAAAATCTTCGCATAAAACTCGCTCGAAGTAATAATGTTTTTGAGCTTTTATGGACGAAGAGAGACATTTTGTACATGTATTTGAGTCGGAAGTTATTGCTGCCGGTAACAAAGTAATAAAAAAATCCTCTCGGACCACCATAAAGCGAATTTTGGCGCTGAAGAGTTATAAACGGAGTCCGAAACGGGTTTATTAGGGAAAGCAAAGAGGAGATTAAAAGTGATATTTTTTATGTGTATAGTTTTCTTTCTTTTGGTAATAAAATCCGCCGCGTATTGACCGAGTCGGACGGTCTGGGTGGTACTCGCGGCGCCCTCTATGCAACTAAGGTCGAACTAGACACAGGTTTCTACCGGATTTTGACCCCAATTGAATTATTTAAAAGATTATTTAATAAAAACACCCGTAATTGTTACTATCCAGTGTGAAAATTAGTTTTCATTTTTTTGAGGGGGCTATGAAATGAAACTTCTGCCAGACGCACTGACATTTTCCTAACCTATATTAAAAATGTCAAAACGAGCAAATGTCAGCGTTAGAAGGGGAATGAAAAGAGAAAGAACGCAAACATAAACATGTGCTGGGGGTATTGATCACGCGATGCGACATTGTTGCCAGATTTACGTGTTTATTTTTCCGGTTTCCACACTTTTCCGTCTGTCTGTCGCCTGTCGTCATCCGTCTGTCTGTCAACGATTTTCTTAAACTTGAATTTTCAGGCGGCAGTTACTATAGGGAAGTTTTCGTCTCCCCTCTTCAAAGCCGCTGACGTCACTAATGAACTCATCAACCCGTTTCCGCGACTTCGCCCCCGAGCTGGCAACGCCGCCCCCGCGCATGACCGCCATTTTGATGGCGCCCCACGTCTGGCGTTCATTCGAATTTGCTGCTGCCGTAGTTTTGGCTCCGCCGCCGCCAGCCCGAACCAAGTGTGCGGTTCGCAAGTTCGGGCCCTTTGCGCGAATCCGCCAGTGATGTCACAGCCCACTTTGCGACTTTCGCCGGCGTTTTCGCTCGACCAATCCGGCTGTGGTAAGTCGAAAAAAATACAAACTTAATCGGCTGTAAAGCGATTTTTGGCTTATCACAGAGCGTCAACATGTGTTGGATTTATGTCGGGTTTTATGGCGCTTTTCTTGGGTTTGTTCGTTGTAAAAATGTCAACGGAGCGCTGGCAAACGATGCTAAGGCTAACGAGATTGAGATGTGAGTCGTAAATAATTTAAAGATAGAATTAGCCTCGATCTAGCTTGTGGTGCGTCGAGTGGTATTAATTGGATAATTGATGTCTGAATTTTTGATGGGTGTTGTTGAGGCGGATGGAGGTGGTTTCCTAAGGTCTGGATTGTGTTTCTGGAGCTGAAGATGCTCCAAAAATAAAAAAAAAAAGGTTGATTCAAAGGACAATGTAGTGGGGTGGGACGTAGTCTTGTCGAAGCCAGAACGAATAACCTAGATAATAAAAATTGGTCGAAGGCTAAACTTGACGTCTAGACTTTTCAATTTCTCTTTTACTCGATGTTTAAGTTTTTCAATTTTTGGATTTTTCGATTTTTTTATTTCTGGTTTTTTCAACTTTTTGATTTTTCGGTTTTCAATTAGCAGATCTTTCGTTTTTTCAGTTTTCAGTTTTTTGATTTTCCAATTTTTTGTCATTTCAGTTTTGATTTTTCGATTTTTTAAATTTTGAATTTTTCAATTCCTCGATTTTTCGTTTTTTTTTCACTTCTGGATTTTCTGCTTTTTCTATTTTTTTTTGATATTTCACTTTCTCGATTTTTCAATTTTTCAAGTCTTCAATTTTTGTATATTTTAATTTTTCAATTTTTTAAATTTAAAATTTTCGATTTCTCGATTTTTGATTTTTCGATTTCTCAGTTTTTCGATTTTTCAATTTTTCGTTTTTTCTATTTAGCAATATTTTTAAAATTTCAAATTTTTAATTTTTTTTTAGTTTTAAATTTCCAATTTTTCAATTTTTAACTTTGGGATTTTTCGATTTTGGGAAATTTCTATTTTTCGATATTTTTCGACCTTTTGACTTTTCTATTATTTTTGGATGTTTCGATTTTTCGGTTCTTCACTTTTTCGATTTTTCGATTTTCGGCTTTTCGGTTATTAATTAGAGTTTTCGATTTTTCACTTTTCCAGTTTTCCAATTTCTCAATTTTTCGTGAATTCAGTTTTGGAATTCTTCAATTTATTTTTAAATTTTTCGACTTCTCGACTTTTCATTTCTCGATGTTTAGTTTTTCAATTTTTGGATGTTTCGATTTTTTGATTTCTCTCTTTTTCGATTTTTCGGCTTCAAAAAATTTGAAAACTCTAAAATTTAAAAAATCGAAGAATTGAAAACTCGGATAAATGAAAAATCGAAACATCGAAAAACTGGAAAATCGAGAAACCGAAAATCTGAAAAGTAAAAAATCGAAAAACCGAGAAATCGAAAAATCAAGAAATCGAGAAATCAAAAATTTTAAAAATTCGAAAAAAAATCAAAAAAGATGAAAAGATCGAGAAATTGAAAAGTCATGAAGTCGAAAAATCGAAAAATTGAAGTCATGAAATTGAAAAAACGAAAAGTTAAAAGTTAAAAAAATTGGAAAATTGAAAAATCTAAAAGTGGAAAGCCAAAAATCGAAAGATTAGGAAATTGAAAATTGAAAATCGAAAAAGTAAAAATTTGGACACATCGAAAAATTCAGAAGTCAAAAATCGAAATACATATTGAAAAATCCCAAAACTGAAATATCGAAAAACTGAAAAATGAAAGAAAAACTGAAGAATGGAAAAACTGAAAAATTCCAAAACTAAAATATACAGAAGCTGAGAATATAAAAAATTGAAAAATTGAGAAATCGAAAAATAAAAAAAGTGGAGTCGAAAAATCGAAACCTTAAAAAACTAGAAAAATTGAAAAATCAAAAAATTTGAAGAACTGGAAAATCGAAACAGCCGAAAATCAAGAAATGGAAAAATCAAAACATCGATTAATTGAGAAATCGAAAAATCGAAAGTTTATAGAAGTCAAAAATTGAAAAATCGAAATATTTAAAAATCGTAAAATTGAAGAGAAGAAAAAATTGAGAAATCAAAAAATTGAAAATCGAAAAAGTAAAAATTTGGACACACCGAAAAATCCAGAACTCCAAAAAAACGAAAAGTCGAAAAATCAAAATATTGAAAAATCCCAAAACTGAAATATCGAAAAACTGAAAAATAAAAAAAAAACTGAAGTATGGAAAAACTGAAATATTCAAAAGTTGAGAATCTAAAAAATTGAAAAATTGAGAAATCGAAAAATCAAAAAAGTGGAGTCAAAAAATCGAAACCTAAAAAAAATTGAAAAATTGAAAAATCAAACACCTGAAAAATGGAAAAATTGGAGAATTGAAGAACTGGAAAATCAAAACAGTCGATTAAGAAATGGGAAAATCAAATCATGGATTAATTGAAAAATTGAAAAATTGAGAATTTAGAAAAGTCAAAAGTTGAAAAATCTAAAATTCCAATTATTTAAAAATCGTAAAATTAAAGAGAAGAAAAATTGAAAATACGTAAAACCGAAACACCGAAAAATTGGAAACCGCGTAACAGAAAAATTGAGAAATTGTAAATCGAAAAATCGAGTAATAAATAATTTGAAAAATCCCAAAACTGAAATTTCGAAAAGTTGAAAAGTGAAAAAAACTGAAGAATAGAAAAATTGAAAAATAGGGAAATCAAAAAGTTAAAAGGTGAAGTCGAAAAATCAAAGCCTTAAAAAATTTAAAAATCAAAAACCTAAAAAATTGAAAATTTGAAGAAATAAAAAGTCGCAAAACTGGGACTTTATAAAAGTCAGATTTGAAAAATTAAAAAATCGAAATATTTAAAAATCGTAAAACTGAAGAGGAGAAAAATTGAAAAAAACGTAAAATTGAAACATCGGAAATTTGAAAAATTGAATAATACATAAACTGAAAAATCCCAAAACTGAAATTTCGAAAAATTGAAAAATGAAAGAAAAACTGAAAAATTCCAAGACTGAAATATTTACAAAAAAATTTTGTGATAACGTCATCAATTTTTTGGGAGGACATAAACGGATAAATTTTGATCGAAGATTTACCATAATTATAATGAACTTTTTTTTCAAAAATCTGAATGTCTAGGGAGAAAACTCGGGTTTAAAAAAAAATATTATTATACATTTTGGATATGACGTCACCCCACCTATACCATCTTCCTGATAATTTCAAGATCTCTTCCAAGTTTCCAAAATCCACTAAACTGTTTGACAAAACTTAATCGTTGTAAATAAACCAGACAGCGCCGCCCCGACTCAATTTAAAATTTTTAATCTCCAAAGCAAACATCCCACCTGTTTACCCCATTTTCCAATTTCCTGCAAACTTTTTCCGTGTTCTATCCGAAAACCTCATTAAATCCACTTGCTCGAGCTTTCTAATAATTCACAAAGAATTATTACTCAGCAAAATCCGCTGTCTTTCCCGCACCTCATCGTAAAGCCATTAATCTCCAACTACACGTAATTTATAAGTACACCAACCAAGAAAACGCTTTCCAATTAAACCCAGCGCAATCACTTAATACCAGTCCCACAAACGTAAACACCAATTAGAAAAACCTCGTCCGACTCGATCAAATTGCCCAATTAACAAATTAATCGCGCTGAAGTAGAAAATCGCAGAACACTTTTGCAAATTTTTAAAAACTGTTGAACCCGCAATTATTTACCGATTTGGAGCAGGCAGGACCGGCTCTAACCGTTTTATCGCTCGACGATATCTTGTGGGGTTAGTTTTCCCTCGGCACTTGGCAATTTTTGGGGGTGATTGGATTGGGCGCATCCGCCAGAATTAAAATAGTTCGTGTTAAAATGTAAAGGATTGGTTTTCTAGAATTGTTGCCTCGCGAATTTTAA